GATGGCAAACTTTGATCCAGCTTTCACTCGGTCTCGCAACAATGTTGCCCTCCGATCATGGACTGTGCGGTTTCTAAAAGAAATCACCTTGTCATCCGGCGTGTTACGCAAAGGTATCACATACGCGAAACGATATGCAGGTTGGCTATTCTGGTTAGTATTTTTCTATTTTTATTTAGATTGTTTTTTAGAATGTTGCGGATGATTTTGCGAATTATGTGAACGTTGCAGTTGCAATGGACGAGATATTGTCATTCCACACCAATTATGAGAAGAAGTACTCAAGTCTCTACAACATGGACAAGACGGTTGTCTTTATAGACAACCCCGGAAAAGTAACACTGGACTATTGTGGCACACGCAATGTTGATATCAATCACGGCGTAGCCGAAAACACTGGATGATGTGGCGGCTATTTGTGCGCTTCAGCGACGGGAGAAAAGCTGAGGCCCTTCATTATGTTGCGGGAAAACTGGAGTGCCCAGTCGCTAGTGAGGTGACATCGCAGGCCTTTGGCTGCACGTCCGTGGAGTCCGCAGTACAAAGAAGGTCTGGTGCGACATTTCATTATGAAGAAATGGATTCAAAGGTATATTAGTTGATGCAATAGATTTAAAGCAGATTTTACTAATTTAGACTTTTTTTGTTTGTTTATTGGATATGGCGTCCAAGTGTCACAGGATGCCGAAAGCTACTTTTTAACAGTCTAAACGTTCACGAGATGGTAAGCATTCTCGAAATGCTATGCAAAACCATCGTAAAAGGTTTTCGCAGAGCAAAAACGCTTCCTATTGACGCTAGAGACGCATTTTCAAGACGAACCTTCATGCACTGCCTGAAGCCGCTGTTTTAGTTGATGTCTCAGATGTCGAAGACGAAGGTCTTGATGAATAAACTTGTACTTTTGTTTTATTCATACAAAAATAAACCGATTATTCTACAGTACTATTTATGCTTTCTAACAATTATTTTACTGGCTATTAAAATTAACCCTTTTTGTGAACGGGCGCTTTTGACCTGGCTATATTATACGATATAAAGTCAAGTCATTTGGTCGTCAAAGGAAGCATTTTGCCCCTCTTCATAAACCGCGATACTACAGCAAATCTTGTGCAAATCCTTGTAGTTCGAGTAGATAGGGCGATTCTGTCTCTTCCACACTCAAAACCAATGAAAGGGCAATTTTGGCTCCCTTTCATGGGTGACACGAGTGATACTCGAGGATGTACCCTCCAAAGGGGGCAAAATACCCGACTAACCACGAAAGGGTTAACCCCCCACACACACACACACACACACACACTCCTGTCGAGGCTGCCGGTAGTAACAGCGGTTGTGGGGCTCGCATCAGCTTCTCCGCCCCATCCCTGTATGGTTGTTGATTGACGGCATTTCGTGTTGACTCGGTATTTCTCCTGTACCCGGCAACGCTTCTCTTTAATCTTTCCGTATATCTCGATCAACTTATTCTGTGACTGGTGATACCAGTCTCCATTGATGAGATTGAGAAATATGGAAGTTCGTGAGTGCAACACACAGCGGTATTTTCCACTGTAGAACGAGCCGTTTTCCGCAGTACTTCCGCAAGGACACCGGCTCTGAAAGGCGACGTCCACAGCATACAGAGCACACTGAAAGTTGGCAAATGTATTGCCAGTATTAGCCGCAACCTTATGGTACTTGGTCGCAACGCTCTTCGACTTGGTCGACGTACAACTTGGGTGGCAGCTTCTTGATGAAATTGGTCGCAACGTTCGTAAACGTCGTTGCGGCTAGACGAAAGAGCCTCGCGTTGCTCTCCCACGCCCCTCCTTCCTTCAGTCCGACGAGATATGCAATGACGAGTTATGCAAATTGCGTATTTAGGCTTAACTTCGGGGCGCCTCCCCCTTCCAATACCATAATTGACAAGGACAAAATCACGTACGGAAAGCCAAAGCTCGTTGAACTCCCGTACCGAAAAGTTGATCATGTCGGAGATAGTGTTGACCTTCCAAGCTCCCTACAAGAGTGCATGATCGGTGTGTCGGAAGCATCGTCGTCAATCTCGTATGGATGTAAAGTGGAGTATCGACCAAGGTCTTGATCCGGCGTTCTAGACGCTCCAAAGGGACAGACTCGTCTCCGTTACCATTAGCCTGGCGGGTGTTTGAAGTAGAGTGACGAGTTATTTCAATTGATTTGGACTTATATGTAGAGTAGAAGAAGATTAAGTAAATCGAAAATAAGCTATCTCTCCTTAGAAAGCGTCGCGTTCGGGAGAGATTCGTTAAAACACACGACAACATCTCTTCTGTAGTAGACTGACAACAGTAGGTTCGGATATATTTTCTAAAAATATCATGTAATTTGCTAATTAACGAGCCTCTCACGGTGTCCACAGATGATCTCACCGGGAATACCTAGCTTTAGCTTTTTACAGCCAACTCGGTAAGCGATCTATTGAATCACACTGTTTAGATATGCTATTAGTACTGTAGCAAGATTTTACATGATTTGACATGATTATGCTAAACTGTACTGGATAACTGACTACCCATTACACTAAAATAGTGCGGTATGTATGAGAGGCGTTACCGCAACAGCAATACGATAATACGACCGAAAATAGCGCAACCTTATGACCTAAAGCGACCACAAAGCCATATGTTGGATGGTAATTTATTTTAAATGACATGCCATGTCGTCGTCGTCACCAATACCACCAGTAAATAACGTGGCAGCGTACGAGCGTTGTCTAAATTTAGAAATATGTTAACCACATTAACTGCATGTATCCAATATATTGGCGTGTTTACTACAGAGTTTCCGTGCGGTACACATTCTTAGCACTTTGCATATTTTGCAAAGGTCCAAGCACAGCGCAATGATGGACGGAAGGTTGCGGGCACGAGAGTTGGTGCGCACACGAGTTGATGAGCTAATGGGCATGAAGAACAATCTAAATAAGATAGGCACGGGTCTGGAAAAGATACTAAGGGCTCATATGGAGTTGTTGTCTCGTAATGAGGACAACGAGGAGAGCATCTACGCGTTGGCGTGAGAAATGGGCGACATTGGCGTGGTTCACGCCGGAGACCTATCGTTCGGGTGCTGCTACAGATGGATGTCAACAAATTGAATGGCTAGTATGAAGTATTGTTTGTAAGTTTAGTACAGTTTCAACTTTCTACTTTAGTTCCTTCAGTACCTGCTCGTGAATTCCCTTCGTCCTTTCCGCTAGGAGCCGCGCGGCTCTCGCGTGACTTACATAGGATCATCCACAGCATTCGCAGACGCATAAACCGCAAGTCAGTCTTGGAAACGTTGCTGTGCTGCCACTGAAGATTCCCATGTACATAGCTGAATACCTGGGTCACAACAAGTATTCCACAGCTCGCGAAGTCAGGTTGCTGCGGAACTTCGGGCCACTCAATACGATCTATGCGTAGTTTGGTAGTGGCGGTCGAGGCTTGGCACCATCTCTTCACGAAACCGCGAAGCCCTTCCATAACAACCTCATTCTACTGGTCCTTAATGCCCTTCTAATCTTCTTCCAAATTAAACATCACATACAACGTTTTATGAATAACAAGAAAACAACACATAAATGATAGTATAGGCCCTTACTGGTAGTAGTCAGGCCACCCTCGTCGGATCCGGATGGCAAATTCACACACACACACACACCCGTAATCTTCATCGCTTGGAAGTCGCAAAGATCTTGACGTTTGTTTTGTGACTCAGGCCGTGACTCCTAACGAAAACACCTCGGCACTACCAGTGTCTGGGATTTCAAATTATACAATTGATTACAAAATATACATTTGGAAATGGAAGATATTCGAAGAAGAACAGTAGCCAGGAATTGTAGTACTGGTTGAATAAAGTAGTAGTTTAATTGCCATTTCTGGAGTACTATCGTATTTTAGAATTGATGCTACTTCAAGTTTATTTTAGTTTAGAATTTATACCATAATGAAAAGTGACTGCCGTTGGGTGGCATTCAGACGAAAAAAACCATCAAAAATTTAATGGTTTTTTTTCGTCTGAATGCCATCCTGGCCAATCAGATCTCTCAGGTAACCCCCTCCAAACTGATCGAGAACAGCTGACGGTCATGTTTTCAGTGTGGATGAACTTCATCTCGCGCATCAAAGCTGCGTGAGCTTGCGATCTTCCTGCAGTTTAGTCTCAGCGGCGAATACTGTGCCATTCCGCCATTTGCCGGCTTGTGCGAACTCCAGTCTCCAGTGACCGCGTGACCGCAAGTTGATCATGCGCTTCCTTTGCCAACTGCTGCCTGTCGCTATGGCGGCTCTCTTCGGGTCGTCGGTGGCGACGGCCTCCGAACCTCGCTGCTTCCCCGAGAAATTCATGTTTGGCTCAGCCACCGCCTCGTATCAAGTGGAGGGCGCCGTCAAGGAAGGTGGCCGCACTTCCAGTATTTGGGACGATTTCTGCCGTGAAAAACCCGGTATGAAATGTGCCAACGTGGCTGACGATTTCTACCACCGCTACAAGGACGACGTGAAGCTCATGGTCGAGACTGGCCTCGAATCTTTCCGCTTTTCGATCTCGTGGTCGCGTGCCATGAACTGGGACCCCGTCACGCGTCGCATGAAGCCCAACGCTGAAGGTATCGCCTGGTACCACAACCTCATCGACGAGCTCAATGGTAACGGCATCGTGCCGATCCTGACCATTTACCACTGGGATCTGCCAAGCGAGTTGCAGACGCAACTCGAGCCCAAGGGTTGGCTCAACCCAGGAATCGTTGACCACTTCCTCGATTACTCGACTCTGCTCTTCAACGAGTACGGCAGCAAGGTTCAGCTCTGGACGACGTTCAACGAGCCTCTATCCTTCGTCGGTGCTGGTTATGGCCTTGGCATGCACGCTCCCGGCTACTCTGGCTCGGACACGCAGGCGTACACGGCCTCTCGTAACGTGCTTATTTCCCACGCCAAGGCGGTGCAGAAGTTCCGTGAAATGAAGACTAGCAACGTTATTGGAGACAAGGCACGCATCGGTATTGTGTTGGTGGCCAACTGGTACTACCCCTTGGACCCGAATAATGAACGCGACGTTGCTGCTTCCAAGCGTGCGTTCGACTTTGACTTCGGCTGGTTCCTGAACCCTATTGTGAACGGCGACTACCCGGCGGTCATGCGCGAGCGCGCCGGCGACCGTCTCCCCAAGTTCACGGCGGAGGAATCTGCTCTGCTTAAGGGATCGTACGATATCTTCATGATGAACCACTATGGCTCGCGCGCCGTCACGGACTGCGACTCGGACCGCTCGAACACTCCGTGCTCGACTCTGCTGCCTGGTTACCAGGCGGACAAGGGCATCGACGACAGCCACGTCATGCCTGGCACGCGCGCCGGCGTCCCGGACCGCTTCGGTAACAACTACTGCAAAATGTTCACCGGCTACCCACCCGGATACCTAGACATGATCCGCTATCTGCACATGCAAGACACCAGTGTGGATATCCTGCTGACGGAGAACGGATGGTGTGGAAACGATGATGTTGACAATTACGACCAGTTGTGGTACTTCAAGGCGTTCGTCGAGCAGGTGCACAAGGCCGTCGTGGAGGAGAAGATCCCTGTCATCGGCTACACGGCGTGGTCGTTCTTGGATAACTATGAGTGGGGTTCGTACGGCCCGCGCTTCGGCATGTACTACGTCAATTTCACGGAGCAGACTGGATCTCCGGACTTCTACGAGCCCAAGCCTACAGACCTGGCTCGCATCCCTCGTCCATCGGCTAAGTGGTTTAAGAAGGTGTCCGAGACCAAGTGCCTCGATGGCTGGAGTGATGTCAGCAACATCAAGGCTCATTCGACCTCACACGAGAGCAAGACGTCCACCTTCGGTATTGTGTTCGGAATTGTCGCGCTCGCTACGGTTGTGATTGGTATTGCTGTGGTGGTTGTGTACCGTCGCCGCCGTAGCGGCTACGAGCCGCTCTTGTCGCGCAACTAGATGGCACCGGTACGAACTCGGGCACGGCTGATGATAGGCGAAAGCAGCTCTAGAAGCGACCCACAACATATGACTCGTTTCAGTTAAATAGGCAACACTTGCTTAAACAAATATAAAGACCGTGGTTGTCTTCGCCTAGTTAACATGAATTATGTACTACCACGTCGTGATGGGCGTATCATAGCGGCGCATTGCATATACAGTGCCCGCCCGACCTTCGACGTACGCTTCATCCACACACCCGTTTGGCGCAAACACTGGAAAGTGTAAACGCTGGGAAGCTGTAGGCTGTAGCAAATGCATCGTCTTCAACCGCATCCACCAATACTCGATGGCAGGGTTTCCTTCAACGTAAATCTGTACCATCGGTACTACGAAGTACATGTAGTTGCCTGACCATTTCCACTGTCGCGCGAGGTAATACACTTCCAATACATACTCGCATTCTTCCGTGTCGGCGTCAATTCGGTTGTCAAGATCTCAACGATGCGCTAGTCGCCACTTCAGCCCGAGTTTGATGCGTGTACAATTCGAGCACCGGAATGCTCCTGCAAATCATAATACATGTAGCAATGGCATTGCTGCAATGCACACGTTCTGATTCAACACGTAAAGTTCATGCATCCACCATCAAAGATGCGTGGCTGAAGCAGTGTTTTGCCCACTCACGACGTGAGTCACGTAGACCACGTGACGTACTTGTGAATCACAAGTGGTGAACGAACTTTATTCAACGCATCAGGCATTGTTAAATTTGCTCGGTTGCCAAGAAGTGACCAACTCAATCACCGCAAGCATGAAGTGGTCCTTCCTCGGGTTGGTGGCCAGCACGGCGGCAGCGTCACTTGTCACTGCGTCGGAGCCTCGCTGTTTCCCGAAGGATTTCATGTTTGGCACGGCTACTGCTGCATACCAAGTGGAGGGTGCGTATAACGAAGGTGGGCGCACTCCTAGCATTTGGGATGAATTCTGCCGAGAGCAGCCCGGCATGCTATGCGCCAACGTGGCCGACGATTTCTACCACCGGTACCCGGATGACTTGAATCTCATGCAGGACGTGGGGCTCCAGTCTCTGCGCTTTTCTATTTCGTGGTCACGTGCAATGACTTGGGATCCAGAGACTCGCCATATGCGTCCCAACCCAGAAGGTATCGCCTTCTACCATGCTTTAATCGATGCCATGAACGCCAGGGGTATCGTCCCGATCCTGACGATCTACCACTGGGACCTGCCGTCCTCGTTAATGCACGAGCTCACTCCAAACGGCTGGCTAAGCCCCGAGATCGTGGAACACTACGTCGAGTACGCTACTCTCATGTTTCAGGAATACGGCCATAAGGTCGACTACTGGACGACGTTCAACGAGCCGCTTGCGTTTGTCGGCTATAGCTATGGAACTGGAATGTTTGCTCCTGGATACAAAGGCTCACCTACTGAAGCCTACACAGTCTCACGCAACGTTCTCGTTGCCCACGCGAAGGCTGTCCAGAAGTTCCGTGGGTTTAAAACGAACCATATCGTGGGCGACAAGGCTCGCATCGGCATTGTGCTAGTATCTGCGTACTTCTACCCCCTCGATCCAAACAATGCTCGTGATGTAGCGGCTGCAAAGCGTGCTCTTGACTTCGACTTCGGTTGGTTCCTCGAACCGATCATTACCGGTGACTACCCTGCGGTCATGCGTGAGCGTGCTGGAGACCGTCTCCCCAAGTTCACTGAGGAAGAGTCTGCTCTGCTCAAGGGTTCGTACGATATCCTAATGATGAATCATTATTATTCAAAGGTGGTCACGGACTGCGACTCCGAGGCGTCGGTGACGCCATGTTCGTCGCTTACTGCTGGCTGGGAAGCTGACAAGGGAGTCGATGAAGACCACATGATGCCAGGGACAATGCAGCCTCGTCCGGACAAGTTCGGTAACAACTACTGCGGTCGCTACACGGGCTACCCACCTGGATACCTTGACATGATCCGCTACTTGCATTCGCATGACCCGACCGTCGACATCCTGTTGACGGAGAACGGATGGTGCGGAAATGAGGAAGTGGAGAATTGGGACCAACTCCGTTACTACAAGTTGTTTGTGGAGCAGGTGCACAAGGCTGTCGTGGAGGAGAAAATCCCCGTCGTAGGCTACACGGCGTGGTCGTTCTTGGACAACTACGAGTGGGGCTCGTACGGCCCGCGATTCGGACTCTACTATGTCAACTTTACTGAGAAAACTGGTTCGCCAAATTTCGAGAAGCCAAAATCAACGGATTTGGAGCGTATTCCTCGCCCTGCAGCTAAGTGGTTCCACAAGGTCGCCACTACCAAGTGTATGGACGGCTGGGATGAACTCGAGCTTGCTGCGGACAGCTCCATTGCCCACTCGGCAGAACACCTCGGCTTCTCAGTTGCCTTCATTGCCGTCGTAGCTGTGGCGCTTGCTGCTGCTGTGGTCACGTTCAAGCGCCGTCTTGGATACCAACGCCTAACTCACACTTCTTCCAACTAAACTGGGTCTGTAGATCTTTGTGTATTTTTCACGCTTAAAGTATTTTTCGAATCGATTCGTTGGAGTTCGTAATTTCGGTAGTATAAAAGATTACTACGAAGTACAATTTTTTTTTTCAAGATCTAAAGGGAGTGGGTGAAACTAAACACATATCTCCCATGAGTGGCGTTTTAGAGAAATGAACAGGCCACGGACTTAGCCCTAAGCCCCATGGCCTTGCTTGGACCGATACGTTCTCTGTTTGCGCTGGGTCAGAGCTCTAAGGGTTTAAAAATGCCCTTAGAGGTTTTAAATCTACATTTCCTTGCACACTGTACCTTAGCCAATAGTATTTGGATTGGGTTCAGGACCGTCCAAAAAGTCAAAATTCCATCATAACTTCATCATATGTGGCAATTTAACTTGTTTTCAGTATCGACTTTAACCTAACCTTATGTGTTGCCACAGACTTGAATGATTACACCAAATTAATAATCATTCATTTGAAAACCTGGTTTGGTCTGTCTGTTGTTCTGAACTTCCATTCTACAATAACATCCCGGCGGCAAACAACCTAAAACTAACACTAACAACTAAAACAAGAATGACCCAGCTCATCGCAGCTTTGGTTATCGCTTTAATCGCCAGCGCTGTATTGGTCATGGCAGAGGCGAATGCATTCAAGGGAACTGGTGATCGTTTGTTGACAGATTCTGAATCTGCTGCATCGCTGGGTAGGCGATCTCTTAGCATATCCGGGACACAAGTCGACAGTGAGAGGAGAAGCTTCGATAAGCTTGCGAAGCTGTACAAAAAGAAGAAGGTCGTTGACGATGTCTTCAAAGTGCTGAACCTGAACACCGCATTGGATGATCTTCTTACCCACGCGAATTGGGGTACCTGGTTAAGATACGTGGATGATGTGAATAGTGTGCATCCAGATGACCATCGCAAAGGAGAAGTGCTGCTAGATACGCTGTTGAAGCACTACGATGACCAGTCTCTTTTACAGAAGCTCGCCAAAGCGAAGGAGTCACAGAATACGGGGGTTATTGCGACCGCGTTGGAGTCGCAATTGAAGAAAAGGATTAGTGATCAGATGGTGAAATTGGTGGGCTGGAAGAATAAAAACCTGGGCCCCGACGACATCTCCACAGCGTTTCCTGTCAAAGAATATTCTGAATTGGACGACATCGTGGGGAGCATCTACTGGGGCACTTGGGTCAAATACGTGGACAACATCGCCCCAGATGCAGACAAGGTTTCTTTGATCTTGAATCCACTGATGCTTCGCTTCAAAGATAATTTTTTTGAGATCGTGAAAACGATTGCTACATTCCACTCCGATGCCAGGTATAAGTATCTGGAGGATCTATTATTCACAAAATGGCTGGCACCTTTTCCAAATGCGGCCTCTGTAAGGGTGGAGAAAGTTAAACGAATTTTCGCCCGTGAGCAACAGACCGATGAAATTAAGAGTTTCATGGCAAGATACGCTATCGAATACAGAAAGAGGGGCAGAACAGAATCCAAGATTTTGAGTACGATGGAAGACGCAGCGAAGCGTTCGAAGACATTGTAAGCCAAAGTTGCTGGAAGGTTTTACTTCCAAAGTAAGAAAAGTGAGCTATATACTTCGAAGTAAAGCCTATTCTTGACAAGTCGATCAAAGTCACAGTTGTGCTAGGCAAGTACTAGAGAATGCTTGCAGCGACAAATATATCTCTGCAAAGTACTGGGAATTCTAGTAGACTTCTACATGTAACTTGTCTAAATGCGAACTTCAACGTGGCACGCCCCTGTGCATCCACAGATCATTGATGTCACGTTCAGCTAGTCTACACATCCGTCGGGTGTCAAAGGTAAATCTCATTTTTGAATTCGCTAAGCATGCGAATCCTAGAGCAGGGCATTCGCGTGGCCGGCGTCCTAGCCGGGCTGATGTTTTCGACCGTATCGGCGGGATCTCGCTGCTTTCCAGATGACTTCATGTTTGGTTCGGCTACAGCAGCGTACCAAGTCGAGGGCGCCTGGAACGAGTCTGGCCGCACCCCAAGCATCTACGACGCCTACTGCCGCGAGACGCCTGGAATCGAGTGCGCGAATGTCGCCGACGACTTCTTCCATCGCTACCGAGACGACATCAAGCTCATGGTCGAAACGGGTTTGCAATCATTCCGGTTCTCCACCTCCTGGTCGCGTGCGATGACTTGGGACCCAGAGACGCGTCGGATGCGTCCCAACCCTCCGGGTCTCGCGTTCTACCACTCGCTGATCGATGAATTGAACTCCAACCATATCACGCCCATCCTAACTCTGCACCACTACGACCTGCCGTTGGCTCTGCAAGACGAACTCAACCCTCAGGCGTGGCTAAACCCCGACATTTCCACTCACTTCGAAGACTACGCTACGCTTATGTTCAATGAGTTTGGCAAGAAGGTGAAGTTCTGGACGACTTTCAACGAACCACTCGGGTTAGTGGGGTACGCTTACGGCATGGGCTTCCCTAACATGCCTCCTGCACACAGAGGTTCGCCCACCGAAGCCTACGAGGTGTCGTACGGGGTTCTCATGTGTCACGCCAAGGCGGTGAAGAAGTTCCGGGAGTTAAGGGATTCTGGTGTGGTTGATTCGGGTGCTCGTATTAGCATCGTGCTGGTCTCCAGCTACTTCTATCCACTAAACCCAACTAGTCGCAGAGACGTCCTTGCCGCCCAACGCGCGTTGGACTTCGACTTCGGGTGGTTCCTGCAACCGATCCTGACTGGAGATTACCCTGCTGTCATGCGTGAGGTTGCCGGTGATCGTCTTCCTCGCTTCACAGCCGAAGAATCGGAGATGCTCAAGGGATCGTACGACATGTTCCAGCTTAACCACTACTCGTCTCAAGCGGTGACGGACTGTGATTCACCAACGTCGACTATTGACTGTGCCTCTCTTGCTCCTGGCTGGCAAGCCGACAAAGGTGTGGATGACACGCACGTCATGCCGGGGACATTGCGTCCTAAACCTGACCGTTTCGGTAACAATTATTGTGCAAATTTGTTCACGCCGTATCCACCGGGATACCTCGATATGATCCGCTACGTGCACTTGCAGGACCCGACCGTCGATATTTTGTTGACTGAGAATGGCTGGTGTGGTAATGACGAAGTAGAAAACTGGGACCAAGTCCATTTCTTTGAGCAATTCGTGGGACAAGTGTACAAAGCTGTCGTGGAGGAGAAAATCCCAGTTATCGGATACACGGCGTGGTCTTTTTTGGACAATTTTGAGTGGGGAAGCTACAAGCCTCGCTTTGGCATGTACTACGTCAACTGGACGAGTGAGACCGGGTCGCCGGATTTCAACAATCCGAAGCCAACGGATCTGGCGCGTATTCCTCGTCCATCCGCCAAGTGGTTCCACAAGCTCTCCACGACCAGGTGCCTCGATGATAACAGCATCTTAGCACTAGAAGCCTCAGAGGAGCCAACCAAGGATATGGCGGAGATGTTTGGAGCGCCTCTGGTGATGATTGCAGTGATGGCAGTCGTTGTGATGGTTGGTATCGCGACGCAGAAACGCCGCCAAGATTATGAACGCATACCTCTCGTTTCGGCGCGTTAAGTCAGCGCTAGTGCGCTTGCCAGACAAGCAACAACACCTCTAATTTTCATTTTTCGTTACCAAAAACAACACTTTTTGAAAACTAAGGTCGTACTTCAAAGTTACCTGGTCGCCTCGATTATCAGTGATACTACGTAGTATATCACTTTCACTCAAACGGCTACAACGTGTAGTAGTGATCTGGCTTAGCAGACTGCCTAAAGCAAAGGCGTTCCTTCACCAGCAGCACCATCGTGACCACGGAAGTGACGCCAAATGCGACGTCCAACAAAGAACACCAGCACAACCACCGCTACGAAACCCACTGCTGCGATCGCCACGATGCCGAACAGCCAGCGCCACACGTGGTGACTGTGACCACCACTCTCATGGGTCTTGGTGGTTGTTGCTGAAGTTTCGTCCGCATTCAGACACTTGGACGTCGCCACTTTCTGGAACCACTTGGCCGACGGACGAGGAATACGAGCCAGATCGGAAGGCTTCGGCTGGTAGAAATCGGGAGATCCCGACTCAGACGTGTAGTTGACATAGTACAGACCGAAGCGCGACTCGTACGACCCCCATTCGTAGTTGTCAAGGAAAGACCAGGCTGTGTATCCGATAACGGGGATGTGTTCTTCCGTGATGGCCTTGTGCACTTGCTCCAAGTAGGCCTGGAAGTACCATAGTTGATCGGGGTTGTCGATCTCATCATCTCCACACCATCCGTTCTCGGTGAGTAGGATATCGGCGGATGTGTCATGTTTGTGAAGCCACTTGATAGTCTCAAGGTATCCAGGAGGGTAGGCAGTGAATGAAGCACAGTGCGAGTCTTTCAGAGCCTTCTCACTACGTGGTCTCGTGCCCGGAACTGTTTGAGATATATCAACGCCACGGTCGCGCTGCCAGCCAATTGCAAGCTTACTGCACTCTGTCTTTGATACACTCGAGCCACAGTCTGTTGCTGCACGCGTCGAGTAGTGGTTGAGCATGAAGAGATCGTATGATCCTTTCAACAGTTCAGTGTCCTCTGGAGTGAATCGTGGGAGACGGTCGCCCACAACTTCACGCATGACGGACGGGTAGTCTCCACTAACAATCGGAGAGAGGAACCAGCCCACGTCGAACTCCATTTTACGCGAAGCTGCCTCCACATCGTCCGGATTTGACTCGTCCAGAGGGTATGCGTAGTCAGCATTTAGCACAATAGCAATCCGAGCTTTGTCGTTGATAACATGAGAGTTTTTCAGCTCACGGAATAGCTGGACCGCTCTCGCGTGAGAGAGCAGCACATTGTGCGTGGCAGTGTACACTTGAGTCGGTGAACCAGTGAAGCCTGGAGCCTCCCTACCGGTAGCGTAGCCTGCGGTCGTGAAGGACAGTGGCTCGTTGAATGTAGTCCAGAGATCCACTTTGCTCCCGTACTCATGAAATATGAGCATCGCGTACTCTGCATAGTGCTGGACGATGTCCGAGTTAAGCCAACCTTGAGGTGACAGCTCTGTGTGGAGCTCCAGTGGTAAGTCCCAGTGATACAGTGTCAAAATGGGCTTGATGTTCTTCGCATTCAACTCGTCGATTAGCGCGTGGTAGAACGCGATACCATCCGGGTTCGGACGCATGCCGTGCAGCGCTGAATCCCAATTCATAACTCGTGACCATGAGATGGAGAAGCGGAAGCTCTGCAGCCCCATCTTCACCATCAATTGGATGTCGCTCTTGTATCGGTGGTAGAAATCGTCGGCCACATTGGCACATTTAACGCCCGGTCGTTCGCGACAGAATTGGTCCCAGATACTCGGTGTGCGACCACCTTCGTTCACTGCACCTTCGACCTGGTACGAAGCCGTGGCCGACCCAAAGAGGAAGTCGTCCGCGAAGCAGCGCGATTCGGCAGCAACGGTGGAATCCGTCGCCCCTAGCAGCACAGCCGCCACACACCCGACAAGCTGCAGAAGTCGACGCATAGTGGCCAGGTCTTAGGAAGCTTGGTAAGCTCGTTGGGATGTCTAGATATGAATGGCACCCGTCTAAGATCCCTCTCTCGCAACAATGATGTGTGGTCTGGGTGCGTTGAAGTTATGGCACCTTCAACGACGACAATCCTGCTTGCAGGAAGGGCGCCATGAAGTGGCGTTGCACGATGAAAAATACCTGTCCAAAGTCAGTTGCAATCATTTGCACACAACAGTTTGATTTATTATATTTTGAAAGATACCAACTTCAACATGGCTTACTTTATTCACATGATTTGATGACACATGATTTGATGATCTTCAATTGATGATCTTCAAAAAAAAAAAAAAATGTAATTTTAGAGCACGGTATGTTTTGATTGATGACCACCATCGTCCATTATTGGATTCGCCTTGCCAATGCAGCTCGCTACGCATGTCCTCCAGTTCTTGGGCTTCGCAGCGTGTGCTGTGATGGTATCTGCCGACTCTCGCTGCTTCACTGAGGATTTCTTGTTCGGGTCGGCCACCGCGTCGTATCAAGTCGAAGGTGCCGTGAAGGAAGGTGGACGTACGCCAAGCATCTGGGACGAGTATTGTCGTACTCAACCAGGTCTCAAGTGCGCCAACGTGGCCGACGACTTCTACCATCGCTACAAGGATGACGTCAAGTTGATGGTCGAAACGGGCCTGCAAAGCTTCCGCTTCTCGGTCTCTTGGTCTCGGGTCATGAACTGGGACGCACAGACGTCTCGCATGCGTCCGAACCCCGAAGGTATCTCCTTCTACCACTCGCTTATCGACGAGTTGAGTTCCAATGGAATTGTACCGATCTTGACTATATACCATTGGGATTTACCCATTGAACTGCATACTCAGCTACGGGAGGAAGGCTGGCTGGGCTCAGAGATCATCGACCACTATGTCGAGTATGCAACCTTACTGTTCAACGAGTACGGCAACAAAGTGAACTACTGGACGACGTTCAATGAACCACTATCGTTTGTAGCTGGAGGGTACGCGCTAGGTATGGGGGCACCAGGGTACACAGGCTCCCTCACTCAGGCGTACACTGCGGCTCACAACGTGCTGCTCTCTCACGCCCATGCTGTAAAGAAGTTCCGCGAGTTAAAGACTACCAACGCCATTGGAGACAAGGCGAGAATCGGCATTGTGTTGAATGCTGACTACGCGTACCCTCTGGACGAGTCGGATCCAGACGATGTGGAGGCTGCAGCTCGCAAAATGGAGTTCGACGTGGGTTGGTTCCTTTCTCCAATTGTCACAGGAGACTATCCTCCTATCATGAGAAAGATTGTCGGCGATCGACTGCCTCAGTTCTATGGAGACCAGTCAGAGTTGGTCAAAGGCTCGTACGATCTCTTTATGCTCAACAGCTATGCAGCTCGTCAGGTAACAAGCTGCAACTCGAAGACTTCCAATAAAGATTGCGGGACTTTATCTGCAGGCTTTGAGCAAGACCGAGCAGTCGACGACAGTCACATTATTCCAGGTACCAGACAACGCAGCACAAAAGCTCAGAAAGACCCACACTGCGCTTTTTTCACTGCCTACCCTCCTGGATACCTTGAGACCATCAAGTGGCTTCACAAACATGACACATCCGCCGATATCCTACTCACCGAGAACGGATGGTGTGGAGATGATGAGATCGACAACCCCGATCAACTATGGTACTTCCAGGCCTACTTGGAGCAAGTGCACAAGGCCATCACGGAAGAACACATCCCCGTTATCGGATACACAGCCTGGTCTTTCCTTGACAACTACGAATGGGGGTCGTACGAGTCGCGCTTCGGTCTGTACTATGTCAACTACACGTCTGAGTCGGGATCTCCCGATTTCTACCAGCCGAAGCCTTCCGATCTGGCTCGTATTCCTCGTCCGTCGGCCAAGTGGTTCCAGAAAGTGGCGACGTCCAAGTGTCTAAATGCGGACGAAACTTCAGCAACAACCACCAAGACCCATGAGAGTGGTGGTCACAGTCACCACGTGTGGCGCTGGCTGTTCGGCATCGTGGCGATCGCAGCAGTGGGTTTCGTAGCGGTGGTTGTGCTGGTGTTCTTTGTTGGACGTCGCATTTGGCGTCACTTCCGTGGTCACGATGGTGCTACCGGTGAAGGAACGCCTTTGCTTTAGGCGAGTCATGGCCGGGACTGACGACAGCAACCTGTTGTTCGATAGCATTTGCTACTGCGTAGTATGAAATAATTCTGATGACCAGGAAACTTCAAAAATATTTTGTTTTTTTAATGGAAAAGGTAAAAGGTTACTGCAGTTCTTCGCGTGCCTATAGCTCCTTTCGGTGTCGAGTTTGGTTTACAACGTCGCAGTCCTCGCTATGGTGGCTTCGATATTACGCAAAATGTCGTTAGCTGTTTTGCCCTCTTTTTCGTATCTGACAGCGTATCTTGCCACGATATCGTCAACTCGTTTGGGAACATTGTTGCCGAATGCCGATCTCACGAATCTCTTAACAATCTCCACGGTTCTAGACTGCACTCTCGGACCTCCCAGCCAATTTTTGAATAGTAGGTCCTCAAGGGATTTAGATTGCGCGGCCGAACTAGATGCAATCGCGTTCATCACCCCATCCGTGCCAAAGCGACTTATTAAAGGGGTCAAGATCTCAGATACCTTGTCTGCGTCCGGGGCGACGTTATCTACGTATCTGACCCAAGAGTTCAAGAAGTTGCTCCCCACGATGTCATCCAAGGAAGCATATTCACCGGCGGGGAACGCTTTCAAGACGTCGCCAGGACCCAGGCGTTTATCCTTCCAGATGTTTACCTGATTCTTAATCGCTTGGCTCAAATGCGACTCTAACGCGGTTGCGATTTCCGTTGTACTCGGATCCTCCATCGCTTTGGTAAGCATACTCAAAGTATGTTGATCATCGTAGTGCTTCAACAACGTCTCCAACAACACATCTTTGCGGTGGTTTTGTGGAATTGAATCCTCCACGTATTTTACCCAGGCATCCCAGTTTGCATGGGAAAGAAGATCATCTAACACAGTGTTCAGGTTCAGCAATTTGAAGACGTCGTCTACCACACCCTTCGATTTGCCCAACATCGCGACTTCACTGGCGACTGTCCTTTCACTGTCGTCTGGCGTGTTAACGGATCTAAGAGACCGCTTTTTCACCGAGGTGGTTGATTCAGAATCTGCTAGCAAGCGATCACCAGGCCACTTGATCGCATTCGCCTTAGCAACAACTAATGCAGCGCTGGCGTTTGAGACGATTGTTAGAACTGCGAAGAGCAATAGGCAGAAGCGAGTCATCGACCTTATAGCTGTTGGTTGTCCGAGAAATATTGAAGAATGAATAGCAGCAGGTCGGTGTTCACTGGATTGGCTTCAAAGCATTCAGGACCACAGATGCAGACAAGGGTTGATGTGGGAAATACAAGGTTAAATTCGTAGTTTTTTTTAAAGTAAGAGAGTGGTTCGTGTTCCAACCTAGGAAAGAGGGGGTGAAATGTAGTTCAAATCAGCTCGGAGATTACCATCGGAGGCGAGCGGGTGCGAGGTCGCGTAGCCGCAGCAAACCCGCGCGGGGTGCCCCCGAAGGAGGGCCGTGCGGTATTTGCGAAGGCGGGCCCAGCGCCGAGCTCCTCAGCGAGCCGAGGCCTGCCTACCCCAGGTGAGAGAATCGTTTTGTCGGCAGGAGCGCAGCGACTGCCTTTGCGACGCGCAGCGGAGCAAATCGTAAGACCGAAAATGACATCCGTCCTGGAGATTTTGGTAGCGTAAGCGGCTTATCTTGATGTTTGTTTGTTGTACATGTCGCTAGGTTGGAACAGCAACAAGTGCCTTAAAGTAAATCGTCGTCCACTGAATGAATGTTTTCTTCATTTCAAGCCTTGAAAATGGAGAAGACATTCACTCCATTCACGCAATCTGGCAGCTCTGACTTTTAATTGTCATAGCGGAATAGTCATTGCTGTTGCGACAATTATTGTTAGCACTGCTATCACGAGGAAAGCTTGGTGTTGGCAAAAAAAAAAAAAGCGTGGACATGAATTTGATTGTCTTTTTGTCCCTATTCAAATACGGTGACGATCACCGTATTCAGAAGGTATTACGGCCTCCGTGACCGCAACACGAATATAAAAAAGACGAACGATCGCCACATGGGGTAAATGGACCACCAAAAACTGACTGGATGACACCAATCTTGCTGGAAGTACACCCTTTCCCCCACCTTTGACACTCTCTTCTCCGTTCTACAGAAGAAAAAACAATGAAAATGCCCTTGCGCCTTATTCAGTCATAATTCATTGAAATTTTGAGTTCGGTGGCGCGAGTTTTATCGTTCAGTCGCCAATATTTCTCTCGCTTCACATCAACGCCAACCTGTGCAGCAGTAGTGGATGTCAGGTCATAGTAAAACTCCTCAGTCATCATCCTGGTCACTCGTTTCGTCCATCCCTCTCTCACTGCAACTTAGATGAAAAACATGCAGTTCTTGAGGTCGTTGTGCAGCTCCGTGAAGTCGAAGTTGGACGAGCTCGAGTTGAACGAGCCAACTGTGGACGCACCGTCGGATCCTTCATTCAGGAAGAAGCGCGCACGAGCGGCAGCCAAGTGCGCGTAATACGCGGGCGTGGCGAACGACACCGAGCGAGTGCAACGCGCGAACGTGTATCCGAGATGGTACGTGAGTCTCTGCACGTCTTCAGCCGACATCTTGTTCTCGTCGTGCAACACGGTGTAGTGGCACGGGACACTCGTGCCCTGGATGCCGCTGTGGCCGTACAGGAAGAAATCAAACCGGTGCGAATCCACAATTCCAGTGTCGATCACTGTACCAGGAACCACGTTGCCCTTACGATCGGCGTCGCGCGGGTTGTTCGGGAACGCGCGCATGTGGTGGCGCTTGTTGACAATGATGAACGTAACGGGTGGGTTGTAGTTCTCCGAGATCATCTTGAAGGCCTTGCGAAGCGCACGCATCTCGGTCTGCAAGATATCAAAGTACTGACCCTCGCTCACACCGTCGCGATAATAAATGACGTGCTCCGGCTTGCGGTTGGTGCTCTGGTAGAACGCCAAGAAGAGGTCACGCAGCATGTGTGGCAAGAGCTGAATGTCACTGGAAGCCTTCTGGGCAGCCACACGAGCGACGTACTTGGCCGAGTAACGATCCAATGAGGCTACCACAGAAGCGATGGACGGACGCGAACCCATACCCGAACGAGGGTGTTCCACATCAGCGCCGATAATGATCGTAGGGGCAGTACTCACTAGCGGCAGAGGCTCGCGCAGGATCGAGTTCTTTCCACTCAGCTTCATGTTGATCTTCAGACAAACATTAGCGCAGTACTGGGGTTTGGCACTGCGGACATTTTGCGACACGATGCACTGACTGGGAATTCCCAACACCGTGTCAGACATCCGCTTGATGTCACTGTAAGATCCGACGCTCTTGTCCTGCTTAATCACCATAATCAACTGCGGAGGGCCTCTGTTACGAGCTTCCAGCTCCTTGAAACACATCTTCATGAGCTCCTCAACTTGAGCTCCTCGATACTGATCCATGTGGATCATGTGCGGGTTACTGTCCTCGATCGTCAGTCCGCTCTTGCCAGCCATATCCACCAAGTTGCGAATAAAACCCTGGACATCACGCTCTCCAACGTTAGCACTGATGACAACACCCCAGTTGCGCATCGTAGCGCCCTCCACAAAGCGCTTGTCCCTCAAATTCCACTGGCCACCCGACGGCCTCTCGGACACATTCGCATACTGCACATCCGGTGGGTCCATCACACGCGCCTCAGTCACCTCCAGACGCTGCTCCACCTTCATACCGAACGCAGCAAGGTACGGGTCATTTTCAAACCCAGCCTGACGAACCTGGTCAATGATCGTTTCCTGACGAGCTCGCGGCGGTTGACTGGTCTGTCGAATGATCTCCGCCGTATCCAGCTCGTTGATATTCGCACAGCGCTGTCCCGGGGCCACTTCGCACAACTCGATTGGCAACCAGTTCTCCTTACCTGCTCGTTTACTACCCACATTCACCAGCGGCAGGTGTGGATATCTCAAATTGATATTGTAGCGCTTGCTGAAGTAGTCAGCGACCGACATGCTCTCCCCCTTGATGGACTGAATCGTCTGATTGGCTGGTTGAGCACTGATACCGAAGATGGCACGCTTACGATCCTTGCGGTGGGTCGGCACGACTTCAATCTTGCGCAACGCACGCGCCAGATTGCGTGCATCACGTTCAGACAGCGCACGGATGTCGTTAGCAGAACGAGCGTTCAACGCAGGGAGCACGAGCTCCATCAGCTCTTTCGGAGCGTAGAACACTGTGGCTGCCTGGTCCACATTCATGAGCAGCTTGCGGTCTGCCACACGGATGGCTTGATGGTAACCCCAGCACAACTCTTTGCCTCCTTTAAGCGGGAACGTCTTCTTCATAGAGAAGAAGTTGCGACCGACAGTGATCAACCGCTGAGCGCCCAAGTGACGCGCAGCCACGTCCAAAGCTTGCAGGACTGGCATAACGTTCACGTCTGGATTCGAGTAGTAGTCCTTAAGCGAGTTGGTCGAGATGGTCTCAGCCATTTTGATCTTCACAACGAACGTACGAGGGCCTCGGAATGGCCGACGAGGCGCGTCACCGGCAGCTGGCGGAGGCTGCGGTGGCGTCGGGCTGGGGCCATCAGGGTTGACATCAACGAAAGTCTTGGCGTGTGAGTCCCACGGCAGCACAGCAGGCGCGTACATGGCCGACATACCGTCGTGAACCACGCGGATGCCCCCAAACTCGGCTTCGTACTGTCTGAGAGCTGCGTTGATCACGTTTCGCACCAAAGAGCGAGGAAGAGGATGTTCAGGGCGTCGTTCTCGCTTGGGAGGCGCCGAGACGTCGCTCATCTCCACGTCCTTGTCCTCTTTGTTTTCCTTCTCGTCCTTGCCTTCCTGTTTGGGCTCGTCACCCATCGTTTCATCCTTTTGATCAGCACCAGACGGACCATACTTGGAGTCTGCAGCAAGATCGGGTGAACGCTCGACATCCACGTGGTATTTGAAGATCTCGGGCGGCGCAGAGTCTAGCGACACTCCAAAGTAATTCACCTGCATCTGCACAGACTTGCCACCACGTCCAAGACCAGGACGGCGGCAAATGAGGAACTCTTGCTGGAGATCTGGGTCTTCGGCGTTCACATCGCGCACTCCAGCACGGCCAGTCCATTCGTCCTGGATACGTGGGTCAGCCACGGGGTCGCCAATACTCTCGTAACCAGAGCCAGTGACTGTACCAACACCAGGGCCGGACTCTCCACGGCCCCCACCGCGACCTCCTCCCCCTCCAAAGCGGCCACCTCCACGACCTCCACCGTATCCGCGATCACCTCCACGGTCGCCTCCTCGATCTCCTCCTCGGCGGTCGCCTCCTCCACGATCATCGCGGCGTCCGTAACCACGATCTCCTCCACGGTCTCCCCCACGGTCTCCACCGCCGCCGTAGCCGCGATCTCCTCCACGGTCACCACCGCCTCCACCATAGCCACGATCATCTCGGCCGCCGTATCCGCGGTCACCGCCTCCGCCTGCACTGGCGCCGCCGCCGTAACCACGGTCATCTCGTCCACCGTACCCTCCACGTGAGCGATCATCGTAACCCCCACCAGAATACCCACGGGAGCGGTCATCATAGCCTCCACCTCCACTGCCGTAGTTGCCTCCTCCTCGGCTTTGGTCATATCCACCTCGACTGTCGTAACCGGACGAGCCACCGTAACCAGCATGAGAAGATGATCCTCCGTAACCTCCTCGATCATCGTAACCGGAGCCTCCATAGCCGCCGCCACTGCCATAAGACCCACCTCGGCTGCGATCATCATAACCACCGGAGCTGTAATCCCCTCGACCGCTTTCGTACCCTCTTGATCCGGAGCCGTAACTACCTCCGCCGCCGCGACTGTACTCATCGTAACCCGACGAGGATCTGCCGTAGTCACCGCCGCGGGAATCGTAACCGCCACGCTGGTCGTACCCTCCACGCTGGTCGTACCCTCCTCGCTGGTCGTACCCTCCTCGCTGGTCGTACCCTCCGCGTTGATCGTACCCTTGTTGCCCGCGCTGGTCGTAACCTCCGCGCTGATCCCCGTAACCACCGCTACCGCTGCCGCCGCTTCCTGGACGGTTTGGGTCGTCATAACCACGACCGTGGTCGCCGCCGCGCGAGCCGTAGCCACGCTGGTCGCCGTAGCCGCCTCCGCCTCCGCTGTAGCTCATGGCCACTTGTGTCTTGCTTTTCGTATGAAGAACTACAACGCTCTTGTGTCCTGGCGGGCAAGTTGAGGACTGCCTGTGATCTGGCACAGCGCGTATCCATGAGGGAAGGATTCTGATTGGACAATATCTACTCCTTCAACGTACAGTACGCTTCGGAATTTTCTGGGGTCAACGGGCCAATTCAACGACCTGATGGTTCCCTTTTCGTCTTTCTTCTAAGCAGTAGCAGTACTTGAGAATCTACTACAGAAGCTTGTTGCCTGCATGCGCTCTGCTGTTCTGAAAATGAATGTGTGGGTGATGGGATAATGGATCGCTGGGCAACTACAAACAGCTTATTCGATGCGATCTTAGTCGGAATTCGTGTAGAACGGGCGGACTGCAGCAGCATTCAAACGTTTTTGTATGAATTTCAGCGTCAGAGGCCCCCTCATTAGCTTGTTAATGAGCGTCCATCATAATAATGCTGTGTGTACATGCCGTCTGTAAGCTGTCAATACCAGTACTGTCTGTTGAAAGCACATTCGTCCTAACATTTGACTGGATGGACGGTTGATGCGACGAGGCATGGCTCATGCCTAGCTGGAGCTGACTAGCCCCCACGGATCTACCCGGTAGAATCCACCGCGCTCACAGTAGTGTGGCTGCTTATTTTCTTGAAAGAAGATTTGTGTTCTACTTAACTAGTTCTCCAAGCCCATCAATTGAAGTTAAAGCGTCATTAACCAAACTGGCAATGCTCGAGACTCAGTGTGAAAGATTTATAACGGTACACATAATATGTGCCGCACACTCGCTTGTACTTGTAGTGCACACCATAAATGCCCCTAAGCCCGTGCCAGCTCCGCTTACACTGGTATTGCAGAGGAAATTCACCTTAGTGCTAGGTGATCACTGGTCAACGAATCCGATTAGACATTATAGAAATTTTCTGTCAGAAAGTGTATGCGCCCGGTCTATTATCTTGTAGGGCACTTAAATTAATGGAGTGGTGTACTGCATAGTACATTGTTTTATGGGCTCTTCCAGCCAATCACATTTGTGATCGTTGCCGACCAGTCATTTGCAACAGTCTTTTGAGCAGATGACCACCATCTCCACTTACCATTTCATCTTTTTGTCAATAGCAGAAGCAACAGTTGACGTTGTGTGCGAGGTCCCACTCAATCCGTTTGCCCCATTTGCCACTCACGTTGCCTTCCTCCGTGCGACGCATGGGTCTTCCGTACTTCTGTACTCGGCGGCGAGAGCAGGCCCCTCTTGTGGATGTTGGGTCCATCAGCCTGACGCGAAAGTCCCTTGGGAAGGCTAGAAGCGCTGGGCACTTTGGGAGGTGCCGACTCGCGTTTTGCGGTCTAACACCTCCAGAAGAATCAGCATTTCGACATCCCCAGCATCAATAAGTTTTGCGTGTATTAGTAGTGCCGCCTATTAGTTGATTGTGGAGCGCGAGGAGGAATTGATTTAATGATGATTCATTCGAAAGTGATGACTAACTATTATCATCTCTCCTACTCAATCTGAGCGCCCCCAATTACCACCTCTTTGCATGGTGCTAAATCATAACGCAGAGTCTCAATGATTTACAGTTATTAGCTCTAACTGAATCCACTTACTATCGGATTAATGTGTAGAGAGCATATCAATGCTGAGGGACTTGCCTTTGCACAAGATAGTCGAAGACTTGCCTTGTCGGAGATGATGATTGCAGCGATGAGGCTTGCGAATGGCACGTATACATTGCGTACCGTCGACATGGTGCATACTTGCTGTAAATATCTTCGCACTAAGCGAGAATCTGCTGCTTGGCAACACTCAATACATCCGGTGTTCCGCGGCAGCTATTCCACGTGTCCTTGTCCGTCGCCATTGAAGGTTGAGGTTTTATCTTGCGCTTTGACCGCTCCTGAGCCGTGTTCTCGGTGTGGTGTACACCATCTACTGCGTAATGATTGCTCCGTTTCCGCTTTTCTTATCTCCCATCTGGTAATTTCGGCCAATCCCAGGCCAGTATTTAATTTACGGGCAGACGACCGGAAATCTTCGGCAAGTGCCGCGTAGGCATTCCACGTTGCCATTATCTTTCGAGGCCAGGCTCCCCACCGACTAAAGTAATTTGTAGCCAACCATGATGGACCTGAACAGCAAAGACAAGTCCCCTGGCGCGTATGTGAGCCTCCACACTCCTATCCTGTGTATACTTTGTCTTAATCTTGTTGTTCTTCCCCCTTCAGCGCCTTCTTGACGACACACAAAAGCAATATCGCGCTGTGGTCGGGCTTCGTGGTTGTCGTGTTCTTCTGCTACCATTTGTTCAGCGATGGCGACTTCTCCTTCCTAATGGTACCATTCCAGAGCTAAATCTCTACTTCTTCTCGCTAAGTCTGACCCTTGATGGATGTTAAAATGACTGTCTACAGACCATGGGCGCGTTTGTGCGTGCCTTCGGCTTCGCCTTCCTGATCTTCAAGGCCTTCTCGCAGCGCTCGGTGGCCGGTCTGTCGCTCAAAACACTGGAGCTGTACGCATTCGTGTTCTTCTTCCGTCTAAGCTCCATCCTTCGTTACCAGGGCTACCTGCCCTATGACCGGAGTGGCGACTGGCTCTACTCGTTCCTGGAGATCGTGGCACTCACGCTTTGCTGCGGTGTCATCTACCTCGTCACTATGCGATTCAACTCGACCTATGAGCTGCGCTACGACACTTTCGGATGGCTGCACGTGCCCACGGAACTCGGCGCGCTCTACATCCTGCTTCCCTGCATGTTTTTCGGCATGGTGTGTGCAATATGAGTTCAGTAACGAACGGAGAGACGCCATACTGACTTGGAATGTTGTGTTTGTATAGCTGATCCACCCGAACCTGAACCGCAACTGGTTCTCGGACGTGTCCTGGACGATCGCGCTGTACATTGAGGCCGTTGCCATCCTGCCCCAGCTGTTCATGTTCCAGAAGCGCGTACGTACTTGCTGACGTTGCGATAGTGTGTTTGTTACCAGTATTTTACCTCTTGGTTTTTATTTGTTTAAAACAGGGCGGCGGTGCTGTGGAGTCGTGTATTTCTCACTTCGTGTACGCTCTGGCGTTCGGTAGCTTCCTGCACTTGGTGTTCTGGTTCTCGTCGTACCACGAGCTCGGCGAGAAGGACGCGGGCCAGCACGTTGGCTACGCTGTTATTTTCGTTCAGATCGGCCACATGTTGATGATGGCGGATTTCCTCTACTACTACTTCAAGAGGTACGCTGGCCTTTTGAAGAGATATGCAGACTAGTTGTTCGAATGCTGATTGATATTATTTGTTTAGCATGAAAGAAGGAGGCCCGATGATGCTGCCCACGCACGGCGCCTACCAGGCGTAGACGCCATTAAAGGACCAGAAAAAAGGAGAAGCGAGAGGATATAGCGTGCTGTTAATCCGGCAAGCAAAAGCGACGCTGGAAGAATAAGAACAGAAAAGCAAGAGCACGGTTGAAATTGTTGAAACGAATTGCTAATCTGTGCATCACTCTTACGAACACCAAAACCAGGTGTATAATTCTAGTAGATGGTTCGTAAAAGCGTCACTTTCTTGTCGAAACGTTGATGTTTCTGCATCAAGGTGTTGATGTGGCGCTGATTGGCATCGGCAAGAGAGCAAGCAGCAGTTGTGCTCTACAATACTCTATGTGGTGAGTGACCTGGTAAACCAGTGCATGTTCTGATGGAATGACAGACAAGAGCTTGTAAAACTAACTTCGATTTACTCGAATTGTGCATTCTAGCGGATATGAAGACCAGAAAAATGCCCTGATAACTTGGTAAGGTACAGCCAATTTGCGTGGAGTAAAGTGGTGCTCTCATCGACAGAAGAAGCGTTCCTCCTCTGATCAATGACGCGCGATCTTCTTCATTCGAAGGCTCTTTTTCCACTAATAATCATCATCATAGTCGATAACAGCGTCGCTTGCAATCAGTCGGTCTGCCGTGGTGGTTTGCCACGACAAGTCCTCGCTTGCGACTTCGCGGACAGTAATGCAGGTACTGCAGACCTTCATCATTTCGTCGCGCCCTTTACTTGTCGGCTTGACGGACATATCTGTAAAGGGGAGACGACGCTTGTACTTGGAGCATGGCCCACAACAAATGCGTCCGCATAGTCGGCAGTGGTGGCGTCGAACTAGAAGTCCAAACTTGCGTGAGCACACCATACACGAGCGTTGAGTTTCGTAAGGTACCCATTCTGGTGGGTGCACGATGAACTTGGCCAGCCACGCGAGCTGTGGTGGCGATAGAATATCCAAGACCATCACTCCTTGGTTGTTACGGATCGTCATGCCGGCTTGCTCTCTTACTAGCGCCGCAGCGACCTTCCATAGTCCCTGTGATACAGCAATATGCAGCACAGTATTGCCAGCTCCATCGATAGTGTTGGGGTCGCTGCCGTTCTTCATCAGTAACTGTACAATCTCCGGGTCGTCGTCCTGTGCCGTGAGAACGTGTGCGATAATCGGGAAGACGTCTCGCTTGCTCTTGATAGTCGGGTCTGCCCCACGCATGAGTAATAGCGCGACTACATCCGACGCTGAAGGCGCTGAGCATGTCGCAGCAAAATGTAGTGGCGTGTTGCCATTGCGATCTGGCATGTTGACGAGCCCTCGGAATTCTGGCGCGGCAAGCAGTCGCGCGGCCTCGAGGTTGCCGTACTTGGCTGCAATATGCAGCGCGATCTGTTGCTGTTTGTAAGACTTGATGGAGGCCAGGTCGATGGCTTTGCCGTCGTACATGGCGAGCAGTGAGGCCACGACAGCCTCGTCGCCGCGTTTGGCGGCGCGGTGGAGCGCCGTGTACCCGGACGCGTCGGGTTTGTAAGGATGGTAGCCCATTTTCTTCCACTTGTTGGCCGTGACCATGCTGAAGCGCATGGACTCGCTCTCACGGATTGTATTCATGGTGCTGAGCGCCTGTGAGACCTTGGTGGACACGCGCTCGTTGCTCCACACGTGCAGTCGCTGTAGCGCCACGGGGATCTCGTAGTCCGAATCCATGGTGGACGTTGACGAGAAGGACGACTCCTCTTCCTCGTTAGGAGGGATACGGCGGAACGCCATCGTGGCGGCGTTGGTGGAAGATCGACAGATGCGATGCAACTAGCGCGGCCCAAGGCCAGAGTTGGAGTTCCTGCTGGTGTCCGATAGGCCCGGAACGACTATGGAGCCCGCTGACTGACCGGCCTGTCGACAGCTCTATGCCGTGTGTCACACACCAAACATTCAGTTTTTATACTTGATTTTAGTAAAGCATAGAAAAATGCCGTTTCTGACTCGCAACAAGCAACACCACGACGCAGTAAATGAGCTCGGCAGCGGAGACTTGCGGCAATGCCACCTGACATCCACACAGGCAAAGGTGGGAGTCGCAGTCAACCTCGTAAAAGCCAAGCCAAGGCGGACCTTGCCAAGCATGTGTTTGCTGCTTCGGATGCACTTCAGTATGAAACGCTACAAGCTCAGCTTTACAGCTTGAAGACAATGATATCATGGAGAAATTCGTTCGTGCAAATCTCGCCGTCACGCTAAGGTTGGACTGAGGTGATCAAATGGAAATCAGATATAGTGTACCGGTTAAATGCATTGTCGGCGTCCGCTGAGGCACGAGTTCCGTTGTGAGAGAAGCGCATGATATTACTGGAGCCTTCATTCGTCTCCTTACTTACTTGTCGCCGCTACATGCAGTGCACTGTGCAGCGATCCTAACTTAGCAAAGATACCACAAATCTGGGAAGATTTGCCCACAGGCGTCCATGTCGTCGTCGTCGTTGAGGCTCGTGCTTGACCGAGTGAGCACGCGTGAAGCGGCAGCGGCCTTCGCATTCTGCACTTCCAGACGGTGAAGCACGTAGTGGATCTCCACGCTCGAGTCCGAGTTGTCCGCCGTCGTAAGTGCATTGCGTTTGTAGATCGGGCCCGAAGCCTGCGCGAACGCGGCGTCCAGGTCCACTGTAACTTGGCCGAGACGGTGCTTCCTTCCGAATCCCGGCGCGACGGTAGACACCTCGATGGTTACATCATGATATTGCACATCGTTCTCCCGCCGCTCAAAGACGAACTTCTCGCCAAAGACGAACTCGTTGTCGCAGCGCTCGGGCTGAGCGGAGGCCTTCGTCGTCGCGCCACTGCGGACAGTGCAGGCCAGGCGATGCGGCAACTGCAACTGGCCCTGCGACCACTTGGCCGAGCCCCATTTTGACGCCTTTTGGAGTTTTCCCGGGCCAATCATACTCACGCGGTTCTGCTCTTCAGTCGCATCAGAGCTCAAGTCTGTGACCTTCTGGATCGCCACCACAATGATCTCGCAGATATCTCCTCTTGCGACTTCATCGTCCTGCTCATCGGAAGTCATACTCGAATCGGTGTGGTCGTCTATGCCGGTCGGACTGCTCTGGGCTCTCCACAGCTTCTTGTTTGACGACGGGAATGCCTTAGCCAACAAGCTCTTCGTCATTGACGCGCAGCTCGCGAACGGGGAGCGCGAGCTCAGCGTCGGCAGCAGCGGATTCTTCTTCTTCACTAGTGCCACCTGCAACGCCGACGGGTCCGGTTCAGCAGAGCTACGCGTGTTCATAGTCTTCAGCATTGACATTGCTGTTGTTGATGTGTGTTGATATCTAAATGACAGGTCCGCTGCTTGAACTGAAGTGACAGAAGCAGATAGTCGCTTATAGAGATTTTCGCAGAATGCCACGATGACAGTTATCCAATTGCGCCGTTTTGAACGGGCTGTCGTCAAGGCTCTGACGCACGTACGAGAGTTTGACAGTGCGTCGAGGATTCAGAGAGCTCCGTACGCAAATCTACTAACAGGAAACTCAGAAACCAAGAACCCACACACAGCCGTATCTTATTTGGCGCCGTCCTGCTTGGGTGATCTTGAAGCCTCAAGGCGCAAGATGCCAATCCTTTACGTGGTGTCAAAAATGTCAAGGGCCTCAAAGCCCCAAAGGTTTTCAATCAGTACGGCGATGAAGACGGTATCTGCCATTTTCCAGTGCAAAACCATGGAAGACGGATCGCCGTTGCGTTAAAACGTTCTAACCAAAGAGGTTACACATAACCTACATGTAATTGCGACCGTTATCTATCAAGTCGACGATCAACTGATCCGTTATTATCAGCGTGGCGACGATCAATTACTGCACTCTGCAACGCGAAGGGTTCTGCATTGTCGACGGCAATCGACGACGTCTGCAACCACGATCGCCAAAATGGAAGGCAAATTTCAGTACAACGTCAACCTAACTATTTGGTGTTGTGCACATAAATGTATCCGCCACATCTACCTAAATCTGGTTCAAAGATGGAGTCGCTGTTCGTGCGGTCGCTGGCGCTGGGGGCGTCGACGGACGACACACAGACGCTGGCCAGTGCCTCGCGCACGACGGCCGACGCCACGTTCGCGGTAGCTAGCGGTCGAGAGGGTGTGATCCGCGTGTACGCAGCCTCGTGCTCGGCGCTGCTACATGAGTTCGCGTGTATCCACAGCCGCGTGTACACACTGCACTACACGAGCTTCTCGGACAGTTTGGTGACGCTAGAGAGCGATGTAAAGGGGGACGACGACGACGAGGAGGACGCTGAGACCTTCTTGTGCGTCTACCATGACTGGCGCGAGCGTAAAATGGTGCGCGGCTACACATTACCACTGGGAGTCCTAGAGAGCCCGTCCTCCAACCGCAAGGCGGACTGTGTGGCCGTCTGCAGCTTCACAGGTCGCGTCGTAGTGGCCATGGGCTCAGTGCTCAATATCTGGCAGTGCAGCCACGGCTTCTTTGAGCACGTCATGGAACTCAAAGTGGACATGGCACAGCGCCACGCCTTCCTACAGGTCGAATACGTGGCCATCCACGGCGTCTATGTGGCCTTCGCTTCTCAGACAGAGGTCCGAGTCATGGAGATCCACGTCAGGAGCTCCAACGACGTCGAGGAGACGAAGAAAATGGACGCAGCGCTTGACAAGACGCTGACGCTCGACAACCGGGTTGACAAACAAGAAGACGGAGATGCAGTACCACCAGACTCGTCCCAATGTGTCGAGATCTCGAGTTTCGATGACTTGAATGCGTTCGTGGAAGTTCCAGTGTCATGTTCAGCCTACAGCACAGTAGAAGCCGATACAAGACGTGAACAGGATGAACAACGGATCTTTGACGAGCAGGAGCAAACTCCTATGGTGTTGGGACGTAACGAAGCTCAGCAGGAAATGTGGAACCTTGCAGGTCTAGTGAAAAGCCAGGATATCCGTACGAACCAGGCCATGTCGTACTTTATCGGAGAGGAAGACGTGAGTGTGCTGCTGCAGCGTTATTTGCCACCGAATCACAGTGTTCGATCACTCAAGTTCCTGCCCGAGACTATCGACAATCGCGTTTGTATCGAGACGAGAAGCTACACGCGTCTACTGGTAGCGACCGAGAAACACGCTTTTCTGTACTATTTCTTGTCGGAAGAAGTGGATTCGACCAGGAAGAAAATGTCCAAGAAAGTATTGGGCAAAGGGGAGCGCACAAAGTCGAGAGGTATGCGCAAGCCGATCAAAATGGGGAAAGTTGTTGTGGGACAAAGTCGAGATTCGTTTACAAGTGTGGAGAATGACGAGGACGACACAGACGACAGTTCGACAGAGTCTGGGCGTGTAGTGATGCACTACAATTTCACGTCGGCAGTCACCAGCATCACCGCCAACAGCTCGTTCCTGTTTGTCGCGACGCTCTCAGGGCTTCAAGTGTGGTCGATCTGGAGTCCGTGTCACTACATGGCGGCCAGTCGCGCATTAAGCAAGTCGCTAGTGCCTCAGCCTTCTCAACCTCAACTGCTTTGCACGCAGCCCATTCCGTACCCGACATCGCAGCTTGCTGCGCTGGACTCGTACGTTGTATTGTTACCACAAGTGAGTTCGCTGGCATATCGACAGGATATCATGCACATGGCCAGTCTCGCCGCCGCTGAGTGTCTTCCCGAGTCTGAGTTTGAACTGCGTCCACCTCTCGACTGTAAAGAAGACCCATCTCAGCGTAGTATCATGATCTTCCAGCAGAGTCCGCCGTCCTTGGTCTTCTCCTATGTGCGTCAAGGCGTGCTATCGACCGATGACGACACGAAGCCATTCCAGATCGATTTATTGCTGAGCTTGTTCTCGTTGTATCGCTATCGCGCTGATGTGGGCTCCGATCTACTTCGTCTTGCCACCAGTAATGAGGCTGCTGTCTCAATCTCGGATCGAAAAGAGAAGCTAGCGCTTGAGCTTGAAACGAAGCTGTACGATCGTCTGGCAGGGGAATGTGCAGCTGATCTGGCAGCAGTTTTCATGTCGGAGCACCATCGCAACTTGGAGCGGGCTGCGCTTTTGTTCGTGGCGTCGAACGTTCCGTCAATAGAGGTGATACACAGGCTTCAGGCGATCGTTGGGACTGTGGACCGATCCGAGGTGATCCGAGCGACGGGCAAATATCTCGAGGCTTTCGTGTTCCCACCTCCTGAATCACTCGCCGACATATGTGGCCCACAATCAACTCAAACCGCAAGTTCAGATGACGCGAAGTTTACAAGGATTGTGTTGCTGCACTATGGCAAATACTTTCCCGAACAACTGTCTCGGTTAATTGTCGATTCGTCGTTGAAGTGGACACTGGAAGACATCGCATTTGCGCTCGAGAAGTTGGAGGAGTCTTCGAGCCACAGCGTCCTCGTTAAAATCGCTAGACTGGTGCTAGTGTTACGTGCTGCTGCGTTCTCATTGGAAGCTTGGGAGGCTCTTGAAACATCAGAAGGGACGTCACGAGAGGGTTTCGCTCAGGAATGCTCGTATCCCAACATGTTGGCTTTAGTAGACGAGCTGCTGGAGAACCACGTCGACGCGCTGACCCACTTAACAGTGACACATCCAGACCTGCTTGTTCAAGAGGTTACTATCGACCAGAATGGACCAGGATACACCAAACGCTTTTCCAGTTCGAAGCTAACGAAGGCACTTCTGGAGAAGTGTCCGTCGAGATATTTGGACATCCTGGAGCGGATTTTCAACAACGCAATCGGTCGCCAAGAAACGATCCACTCCACGCTTTTGTTCTGCTTGAATGCTATTGGTGACGCTGCTGCGCCGTCAGCAACGAGGATTGCTTCTAGTGGTTCCATGTCAGCTGAAGACGATACGGCATTCGTTCCTGACCAAGTGCTCGTCCTCCGGTTCCTGGTGTTTGTGCTTCAGATGTTTCCGACTCTTGAGAAATTGTCAGAGAGGGAGGAAGTGCAAGACGATGAGGAGGACCTGCAGAGTGCCAAGGCGGCAGTGGCAGCCGAGTTGACACGTCTGTGTGTCAAGCTGAGTTCTTGCTTCCACGGCTCGGAGAATAACGATGAAGACAGGCGCGTGGAGACTACCGTATGCGATCTCTTTGAGCCGATAGTATCGGAATCAACACTCCACGGAATACTCCCCGGTTGGGTGCAAGAATACTTGAAGACGCGCTGTCTACCGGAGACGCCAAGACTGCGCAGAACTCTCGAGTATCTTTTCTATCAAGCGCTGGGACTGCTACACCAGAAGGCCTTGATTCGCCCTCAAGATGTGCTGTCGGTGTACGAGGTGTTCGATGTCCAGTCTCCTGATCAGATGCCGTGGAATCTCGAGAACGACTTGGCTGCTCTCGTTGTTCTCCTCACTTTGCCTCGTGTCTCCAGGTATGTAGCACTTGTCTTTGTTTTTCTGAGCATTTGCTGATATTTATCGCGTTGTCTTGGGCAGAACGGTGGATGGGTTGAAGCTCATTGCGCAGCGTGCTGACTTCATTAATTTATTCTTGCCGTATGGCAAGAGCTTCTGCGTCACGTTGGATGAATGGCGATTCTTGATCAGCACTCTGTCTTCCATTTCCGAGAATGCAACAGAGGTACCGACGGCAACAACCTGCGCTTGTATATCATTGGCTCACCTTCCTTCTTGTTTCACAGACTGACCATGACAGCGCAATTCTGGAGAGTATTCTCAACCACGTGTGCTTGACTCTCAGTCCCGAAGACTTGCTCCAAGTTCTCCCCGACGACGGTGATATTGCGTTGTACATGTCGACCATAGAGGTCAGTATGCGTTTGGACCAGGTCCGCGAAAAGCAGAGAGATAGTCGACTCATGAGTGCCGTCGTTGGTTAAACGTGAACGTCCGAATTCAATCCGCATCAGCAGATTGAGACTCCGTAACCACTGCTCGCGAGCCAAAAGCTGTTCCTTGTTTCTCCATCAGCTTCGTGATGGCCTCAATGTACTGCAAAGGCAAATATCAACAGTCAGTTCTAGAAGCCAAATACGATCACGTAACGAGTGACTCACTGCAGCTCGTGTTTGGCGGAAATAAGTCTTCTGCGTGGCTTGAACGAACGTGCGGAAGTGGACGACCCATCGTTTATTAGGCTCCAACGCCACATATCCTTCATTGCCTCGCGCACGTTGAATAATTCTCTCCTCTTCCTGTCGATTCTCATCAAACAACAGCTTCGCCGTCATTTCAGACGCCTCGGTGTTCGTGAATCCAGGAGCGCTGACACTTTCACGTGGTGTCGATGCATCCATGAAGGAGGAGGTTCCCTCAACGTCCAAAGTCGCTGTTCCATCGGGTGCAATGACAACCACAGGGTCCCAGAAGAGCAGCTTATCCATATCTTGTACAAACTCACGCACACGCTTCGCCGGGATATCTGCCGGCACTCGGACGTCCAGTCGAAGTGGCCACAGGAACCTGTGGAATACTTCAGTTGTGTTGCTAACTGTACCCCCTGCAGGGATAAATGTCTTGGTGTTGTCCGGAGTGGCCAGTACAATGAAACCTAGAGGTGCATCGCAGATATTTCCTTTCCTCGAGCCGTGTAGATAGATCCGTGAGTCTAAGTGCAGCATATTGGCCAAGAACATGTAGTGTGCCCCCATGACGTTGCGCAGCTACAGCAATACAACACAGCAAACGTTTAAAACATTATCAATACCAAAACAGTAAATTTTTACTCTACGTACCAACGGTAGTGCAGCCAATGCAATGGACACGAAGAATCCCACTGAGAAGAGCAGTCTCAGCTCGTTCGAATCCTCGATCTGAGGCGCGACGTAGTAGGTGTAGACGATCAGCACTAGCAACAGCATTTTAGCCAGCGTGCTGCCTTCGTACAGCAAAGTCATACGTCCAGCCTTCTCGTCTTTCTTGTAGCCCACCACTCCTTTGCGTACAATAACCTCTCGAATCACGTTGCCGCCTGAGTCCATCCAGATGATGAAGCAGACACCGAAAACCCACGCCGGCCACTCGTACAGCAGCAGCGACAGTCTTGATACGAGGATGGCGATCCACAGCAATCCAACGCGACACATAAGCGACGTCTGCCACATCATCATCAGTCGAGCGTCATCGGGCCATCTGCGATACCATTTGTGGGTTTTTTTTTATATCAATGCGTTAATAATGGCAATTTGTTTATGGCAACGTACATCCATTTCTTGGGGCAGGCTTTGCGGACGCTCCAGAAGAGACAGCGCGCGATGGGGTTGGCTAAGACGGTGGAGAGGAAGAAGAGCACGATGGACACGTACGTTCGGATGCTGCCGCTCTTGGTTGTGTGCCACCATTTCTCCCACGCCTCCTGCGTCGACTGTGACACCATTGCGAGAAAAAAAAAATTGTGAATGAAAAACGAATTGGCATTTACAACGTCCTTATTGGTCAAAAACCCATCCATACGACCTTTATTGCATGTCCTCGTCTTCCTCGTCGTAAGACTCGTAGCCGTTGACTTCAGCGCTATCGGCACCTTCTCCGTTGGTGATAGCCTCTTTCTCCTTCTCCAGCTTGCGTAGGTATGCACGACGGTCACGTTCACGCATGCCTTCCAGCGTGTTTTCGAACTCACGCTCCTTCTTCTCGTGCTCTGCCAGCAGCTCTTGCTCACTGTCAACAACAGCAACAATAGCCCAGAAGCTAGTTAATAACCTATAAAGATTTCTCACAGGCGTTGCATTTCCATAAGACGCACCTAGCTACGATCTCCTTAGTCAAGCAGCACTTGGCACAAATATCTCGCTCCTGCAATAGTACACGGCCACCAGAAGTCAGCACATTGCAACTGCAACAACCTCATTGCCAAGATTAGCTTGAATATCCTTACCTTGGCGCAGGGGTCGCAAGAGGCGTGATAGGCTGAAGTTACTGTCTTCTGATGGCAGTAAATGCTGCAGCCACATTAAAACACAACAACAATCAGTCAGTCTCCGCAGTTTATACCTCAGAACTACATTGTAGCTTAGTTCAGCGCACTGTAGTGCAGTGAGACGTACCAGGAGCCTGGCTGCGTGAGTGGTTTGTACTTGCGGTACTTCTTGCGCCACTCAATTTGCTTGCGGCACTTCTCACAAAGTCCATGGATGGGCATAGACAAAATACGATCCGTCTTCTTGGACTTGGGGTTGTGCTTGAATGCGAACGTGTTCTGGTGCTTAGGTGCACGCTTCTTTACGTTGCCGCGCTGCGAGCTCATGGTCGTCACTAGGGTGATTTCTGATGTAGCAAGTCAATTGTGCCCATTCAAAGCACAGTTAATTAATGTGGCCACATAAAATTACACCAACTGTACATAAACTGTAGCTGTAGTCATATCTTGAGAGATGCAGGTAGATCCAGACGAGACGAACGCGCTGCTGCTGCTCGTGAGCGGTGACGGCATCCCGTTGCTGGTTCGCTCTTACGGAGAGGTATGTACACCACCAAGCGCTGCGGTGGGTGTTACAAGCGCGCTATACCATGCTGCGAGGCGCGAAAACGACGGATCTGTCGACCTGCAGCTGCTGGCACTGGAGACCATGCACCGCTCCATCGTCTACGAGATGACGCCAATCGACTTGTTGATGGTGTTCGCATCCGACAAACCTTGTGGTGGCTGTCCATCGAACGATGCTATGATTAGGCAAATGTTGCGCACAGTGTTTGATGCCGTGGTGCTTCTCCTTGGAGAACGCAATTTGCGCGACTGGGACGCGTCCAAGCTGCGTGCAGCCATCGCAAAGCAAGTCGAAGTGGTAGATACTATTATCACTACGTTTCACATAGACCCACGCTTTGTTTTAGGCCGGCCTGTGCGTGATATCGTGGCGTATCGACAGCTGGATGGCATTGATGTTGGCAAGAGTGGCAGCTTGGTGCAAGGCGCGTGGCTCGAGAACGGAGAGCTCGTGGGCGAATATTTCCAGCCAAATGGACCCAAAATACTTGAAGCGGAAGAGCTGCTGCTTCTGACGGTACTAGGGGAGTGCGTGGGTCGGAGAGAGTGCAACTACACGCACTACATCGGCTGCGTCCACCTCGCACGGACACAAATAGCCACCAAGGTGGTCATTCGAAGCAGCTCGAAGGGCCCTTTGATCACCTTCATTGGAATTTTTGGTAGCCAAGCGGAGGATGACAAAACGCTGAAGGAAATGGTTCGTTGTGTGTTGGCGTATACTTGAAGAAGGGGCGAGAATGGACGTCGTTAACTCTTTTAACTTCTCCAGGCGGATAAACTGCTGTTGTGTCGAGCAAAAGCACGCGTAAGAGAGATCGGCAGTCCGCTGAAAAACGTACCCACCACCTTGATCTGGTTCGTAGCTGTCAACTAATCTTTATCATCGTTGTGCACTAACCTGTTCAAGGTATAGCTCCTACGCTTCTCGTCTCGGAGACTCACCTTCTCCGTCTTGTAGAACACTAGCATATCTCAATCCGGCATGGGAGGGTGTACTTAAAGCCGATACTAGCCTGGAATTGACCATGGACACCAAGCAGATATCAAGAAACTTCTGGTGGCGAGAACTCTGTCGATTTGCCGCCCATAGACAGCACGCAACTTCTTCAAACTACAAGCAAGAAGACGAGGTACATACAAGCAAACCAAGCCTTGTTTGCAGTGTACTCATTGGTTGCATCCTGTAATACAGGCCCTTACGTTCTTGCAGCACGTGCGTGGCCCCATCCAGTTCGTGTCACTGTGTATTGGACCAGTTCCAGTAGCAAAGATCGTGGCGCTTGGAGACGCTCTAGCTGAAGCCATGCTCAATATTCAATGAAAGAACTGATAGTGCATTTTGATATTAAGGAGGAGGCTGCCATTGGCTTCACAAAGCTCACAGTGGACTGGCCATGGTATACTTTACTTGACCTCGTTCACGAGCGGTTCCTTGGCAGCGTACGCCTTGATATTGGCCATAGTGGTGTGACCAATGTTGTCCAAAGCCTCCTTTGTGAAGAAGGCTTGGTGGCCAGTGATGATCACGTTCGGGAAGGTGAAGAGACGAGCGAGAGTCTCATCGGCGATGATACCGCCAGAACAGTCCGAGTAGAAGTACTCGCCCTCGCCTTCGAAGACATCGAGGCCGACACCGCCGATCTTGCCGCTTTTTAGGCCTTCCACCAGCGCCTTGGTGTCAATAAGGCCACCACGACTGGTATTAATGATGGTCACGCCCTGTTTCATCTTGGCAATGCTGTCGGCGTTAATCATGTGCTTGGTACTCGGGAAAAGAGGCGCATGTAGCGAGATGATATCAGCACTGGTCCAGATCTCGTCTTGGCTGACGTACTCGACGCCATAGCTCAGTGCTTCGGGGTTCTGCACTACATCGTAGGCAAGCACCTTAGCACCGAAGCCAGCAGCGATACGAGCGAACAGAGCTCCAATCTTGCCCGTACCCACAACACCGATGGTCTTGCCGTTGATATCAAAGCCCAACAAACCAGCGAGACGGAAGTTCTGCTCGCGTGTGCGGTTGTACGAGCGATGGATCTTGCGGTTCAGCGTCATCATCAAGGCAGCAGCGTGCTCGGCCACAGCGTATGGGGAGTAGGCCGGCACGCGGGTTACGACCATGCCGAGCTCCTTGGCGACCTTGAGGTCGATCATATCGAAGCCGGCGCAGCGCAGGAACACGGCGCGGGTGCCACCAGCGTGCAGGGCGCGTAGAGATTCCTCATCAGCGATATCGTTAACGAAGATGCACACACCTTCGCAGCCCTCGGCCAACTTGGCAGACGTGTGGTCTAGACGCGGCACCAGGAACGTGATCTCATGGGTTGGGGTCACACCGTCCTCCTTGGCGATGCGCTCCATCGACTCAATGTCGTAGCTGTGCGTGGAGAAGAAGGCGATCTTCATAGTGTTAAAGCGTAGCTTGCTCAGGTCTTGGTATATTTGAGAATGAGTGTGTCTGACTGGGGATCAAAACTCGGCATGATACGCGTGTTTTTGTGAGCAACATGGCACGCTATGAGACACTGTGAGCGGCATAACTTTGTCACTTCAACATAATTCAATCGTAAAATAAGGCATCTGTGCTTTGGACAAAGACTTTTGTGAAAGTCGCGTTGATACGATGATAAACATGCAGCCCATGAGGATTCAACGCTCGAGGTGAGCAATCCCCAAGACGTCAAGTTCGTCGTGGCGCGACTCGACTCGGTCTTATCGACGGCCGTTGCGGAACTGCGACCGGCCAAACTCCATGTCTTTGAAGCCACTACGAGGATTGTCGAGCAATCGATATTCTCATGATGAAGCTCATTCCGTAGCATGCTTGCGTGTTGCTGTTGCTGACGCTCTATTTCGAGATGGTTTGTACTCTGCCTTCTACGTAGTAGTAAAATTCTAAAGAAGCAGCAGCAAGCATGCCATTTTGCCACTCCAGCAGATAAGTTCACTTGCACTGTAGTCGCAATCAATATAACTACAGCAACGGCGACGTTCTGGTTCGACTTCATCTAAACACGATGACAAGCTAGCACCCCAGCCGACAGACAGTACACAACCCTTCTTTGTAAAAGGAAAACCTGCATGTTCATCTAGGATACTATTGACATGTATCAGGCTGTCGAAATAGAATGTTACGCTTTACTTGACCTCGTTCACCAGCGTCTTCTTGGCCTCGTACGCCTTCACATTAGCGAAAGTCGTCAGGGCAATGTTGTCCAGGGCCTCCTTGGTGAAGAAAGCCTGGTGACCCGTGATCAGTACGTTCGCGAACGTGAATAAGCGAGCTAAGGTCTCGTCTTGGATGACAACACCCGAGCGATCCGAGTAAAAGTATGCACCCTCACCCTCGAACACATCAAGACCCACTGCGCCGACCTTGCCACTCTTCAGGCCATCCACAAGGGCCTTGTTGTCGATCAAACCGCCACGGCTCGTGTTAATAATCGTGACACCCTTCTTCATCTTTGAGATGCTGTCGGCGTTGATCGTGTGTTTGGTGGAAGGGAACAGCGGGCAGTGCAGCGAGATGATGTCAGCGCGCTTCCACATCTCGTCCAGCGAAACGTATTCGACACCATAGCTCAGAGCCTCGGGGTTCTGCACCACATCGTAGCCGAGTACTTTGGCACCGAAGCCAGCAGCGATACGAGCGAACAGGGCACCGATCTTGCCCGTGCCGACAACACCGATGGTCTTGCCGTTGATATCAAAGCCCAACAAACCAGCGAGACGGAAGTTTTGTTCGCGTGTGCGGTTGTATGAGCGGTGAATCTTGCGATTGAGTGCCATCATCAACGATGCGGCGTGCTCGGCTACAGCGTATGGGGAATAGGCAGGCACACGAGTCACTGCAAGGCCAAGCTCCTTAGCGACCTTGAGGTCGATCATGTCGAAACCGGCGCAACGCAGGAACATGGCCTTGGTGCCACCGGCTGCCAGCACGCGCAGAGCTGCTTCGTCAGCGACGTCGTTGACGAAGATGCAGACACCTTCGCAACCTTCGGCCAATTTGGCGGACGTGGCGTCCAGACGCGGGGTAAAGAACTTGAGCTCGTGCTTGGGAGTAATGTCCTGCTCCTTAGCGATGCGCTCCATCGACTCGATGTCGTAGCTGTGCGACGAGAAGAAAGCGATCTGCATGGTGTTGGTTGTGGTAATGCGGTTTTCTCGGCAAAAAGAAGAATGACCGACCCAAGCGATCAAGTCGAAGTAGAGAATCTTCGTGCATGGATGCACTGTACGCGGCGCCAGCATCTCATCGCAGGAGCTCGCTTGCTCGGCCCATAAACAAAGAGCGAACGAGTGAGCTAGCCAACTCTTGAGAAACTGAAGACTGCAGCTGCGCGTTTCTATGCGAGTCTGGTGCCGAATGCTGAGATGGTGTACCGTAGAGGGCAAAATAGTTAGTCGTCAGTTAATTGGAAACTTATGTACACTTACTTATGTGCTTTTCTTCAAGGATGTTGTAAATGACTTGACGAATTTCTGTTAAAACGCGCGACCGAAGACAAGTAGGCAAGCTCGTTAACGGTGTTAAACAGAAAAACGCGGTTCATCGATTGAAATCTGCCTTGGCCACATCTCTATGCCGTCACCTGTGCATAATGCACTGCATTGTCGACGCCAAAGCGTTAACATATCGATTGGATGCAGCACGCAACAAGCGGCGAGTATGCAAGGTAGCGAGCGCTGCTGCGGTAGAGCGATGGATACCAAAGAGGTGGCAGCGACTGATAAGCACAAGCCGCCCATGCGCTTACTCGGAGCCCAAACCTGTACAGGAATGCTAAGCTCGAATCGCATGACCTCCTCACCAAATGCATAGCAAAATGTTTTTCTGTATGATTACAGTGTAATCATTTTTCTTTTCCTTTCCCAATAATCACGACTTGCACGATTAAAATCCATGCTCAGTGGTCTGCTAATAGCACTAGATAGCAGTGCTATCTAGTGCACTCATCGAGCTCTCTAGCTGTTAGTGTTAACAGCAAACGGTACTCATGACGCATTCTTCGTGAGGAGGGATATACTAAATTTAGTTGAAAATATCGACTCGAGATGGTCGCCATATCTTCACTTGACCTCGTTCACAAGCGGCTCATTGGAGATGTAAGCAACGATGTTGTCGATAGTCGTGCGCGCAATGTTGTCCAGTGCCTCCTGTGTAAAGAATGCCTGGTGGCCCGTAATGATAACGTTCGGGAACGTAAACAAGCGAGCCAGCATGTCGTTGGCGATAATCTCACCCGAGCGATCCGAGTAGAAGTAGCCCTGCTCGCCCTCAAACACGTCCAGACCCACTGACGAAACCTTGTTGGACTTGATACCTTCTACGAGAGCCTCAGTGTTGACTAACGCACCACGACTCGTGTTGAGGATCATCACACCGTCTTTCATCTGCTTGATGCTATTCGCGTTGATCACGTACTTGGTACTTGGGAACAATGGGCAGTGCAGCGAGATGATGTCGGCATTCTTCCAGATCTCCTCGAGCGGCACATACTCGACACGGTAGCTTAACGCTTCTGGGTTCTCGGCGACATCATATGCAAGCACGCGGCATCCGAAGCCCTTGCAAATACGCGCGAAGATGGCACCGATCTTGCCCGTACCAATGATACCCACCGTTTTGCCGTTCATATCAAAGCCCATCAGACCCGTAAGCCGGAAGTTTTGCTCGCGCGTGCGGTTGAAAGCACGGTGTGTCTTGCGGTTCAGCGTCATCATCAAGGCGGCAGCATGTTCGGCTACAGCGTAAGGAGAATACGCCGGCACGCGCACAACGGGCATGTTAAGCTCCTTGGCCACGTCAAGGTCCACCATGTCGAAACCAGCGCAACGCAGGAAAAGCACGCGAGTGCCACGGTCGTAGAGCTACACGAACGGGTTAGCCCACAAATTACTTTTACAGTCTCCAGTATCACTATCTCACTCACTCTGCGCAGCGAAGTCGCGTCAGCGACGTCGTTGACGAAGATGCAGACGCCCTCGCAGTCCTCAGCCAGCTGCGTGGTTTGTTGCGTAAGCCGGTTGGAGAAGAAGCTGCAGTGGCAACGAGGAGATTCGAGCAACAAACAACGTCAGTGATGCATGCCGGTATTGTCAAGTAATTGGCCTCTAGGTCTGAGCTGCGAGTGGCATTGGGAGACATACACAAGTTCGTTGTCCTTAGCGATCCCTGCACACTCGGCCAAAGCTTTCATCGCGCCGATCTCGTAGTTGTGTGCCGAGAAGAAGCCAACACGCATGCCCTTGCGCTGCTGGGTGGTGACGAAGTCGCGTTGTGCAAGAACTGGCAACCATCGGCGTGACATCGAGCAACTCTGGCGGCGGCCGAATGAGGCTATGCAGCGCTGCATCATATGTGCAGGTGCGTGGGTTAGTGTTTGGAGTTTGGAGTTCTTTTTGGTAGTGTGCGGTCTCGATGAAATCAAGGTGGTTCCAAAGACGACGCGCCAAGTACAGTATCACTGAGGTGTTTGCCACATCACATGCTTGCCTTGTGCCTTGAGAAGCACTCATCGGGTGTAAACCAGGTAGACACGCACATGGAACGACGGCGTTGACGTATCCAAAATGTACTACAGTATTCTACTCGCAGTTTCCATCGCCATTAGCCTCCCAGCTGTCATGGAGTGCCTGTTTGAACGCGTTAGCTAGAGCAACTGCACTGGAGCCCCATGCATAATGCTGCTTGCTTCACCTTCATCATGGTCCAGGTAACTACAAGAAATACAAGCCGAGATTTGGTAAAGATTGTATTGTCGATACTTTCACGTACCAGAGCCTGCAGTACATGTAGTTCCTTGACTTTGTCAAGCTATTTTCTCGGCACACAACCTTTTCCACACGTACAAAACTACACAGAAGATATACCATACAACAGTAAACTTCATTCAAAACCTGTCTTGGCAGAGCGGTGTCGATAACGATAATGAAGGCCTCGGAATGCAATGACAACGAGCTCGCCCGGAGTGTAATCGGCGTTATTCGCATAAAGTCAAAATTAAAGCAATGACAATGAGCCCACGAAATAAAAGGATCAGATTCGGTGGTCGACACGAATTGCCTCGTCTCATGTCCAAGTTAAAGTGAACTTCAATCAGTTTACATGTTAGAACTCAAACGC